TTTTTAGAAATTGATTCCTTCCTTTTTTTAGATTCCCACATTTTTTTTATCAAGATGGAGAAATAGAAGGCCAAAAAAACTTTCTGTGCCAAAAATGTTTCTCTTTTAAAAATATACCCTTTCAATTTAAACATATTGATAACACAGAAAGGTTAGTTTTTCATCATATATCGTGAAAAGCAAATGACTTTTGTAGGGGAAAAAAATCAAAATTGGAAACAAACAATTTTTCAATTTTTCCGGAAAAATTGTTCATAAAAAAGTTGCAGATCTTGATATTTTCTGATACCATTGTTTTCATTTTTCTAATAGGTCTAGTTTCAGTGGAAATCTCGAAAGACCATACCATTTTCCACCCCTAAAATTCACGCAATTCTATTCAGACTCCGCATCCAGACCACTCTGTAAAAATGGTTGTTCTTTGATTCCTCGGTGGAATTATGCGTTCCATACTCTTGAATCTGAAGATTATACCGGTTTGTCACAATACAGCAGAAATCTTGGCCGTAAAAATGCAGAAGGCTGTCATCCTTCGCTCATTGCATCTGCTCAGGGCACATGATTGTCGAATCCAATTATGCCTTACGTCACGGAGATTGGCCATTGGTTGGTGATGTTGACACGTCCTCCGAAGGGGGCGGATCTTCACGTACATGAGCTGACCGGCAACCCCTTTTTTTAAGAGTATTGCTCATTGATAAATTACCGCAAGCTCATTCGTTACGAAGTTTAGTCAAGTTGTAGTTTATTGAAACTTGTAACATTAAGAAAAATTTCTCAACCACCCAAAAATATGTTAGGGCAAAGTAATAGTACCATAAATTCATTCTAAACGATACAGAAAAAATGATGAGCTTCATATATAGTTATCAATATCCTTATATCGTTGTATTAATAAAATTTGTCCGTATATTACTCATTATATTATCTCAGGTACTATGATATTTACAGAATAAAGAAAAATGATCTCATATCATTCATCTTGATAAAATAATAGGAGCAGATAAAAAAACGATGTATTTAGGACTAACGAGGTCTTACCTTTTAACGTGTGATTCCTAACACGGTTGCAGAATCATTCCAGCTTCAACCAGATAAATTGTCTCGAGAAAAATATTTGGTCGAGGCGAGAATCGAACACACGACCTTCCGATCGTGAGTCGGACGCACTACCACCGCGGCCAATTCCACAACAGGTATTATTAAAAGTGATTGTGGATACAAGATACCAAGGCGTTCAGAGAGCCGAAATGAATGTCGCAGTGTTCACAGATTTTATTGAAGCTACTGCACATAAAATTCAATGGTGATCGTAGCATAATATTTGTGCATGATGCTTCCCAATAGAATTTTATATTGTGACGACCTTCACTTCTTGGTACTAAGAAATTGATCTCGGGTAAAAGAACCGTACTGTCAATATTGTTGTTTAGTAATTTATGCCGGAATTTTATACCAAGGATAACTCTCCTATTTTCCAAAGTAGTCTTATCAAATCGTGTCAACAATATGTTATGATCGATGCCTCTCGTGGGGTATTGACCATCAACTTTTAGACATAAGTATTTTAGGAACTTCCTTTGCATGCTCTCAATTGATGTTTTATGGTAGTCGTAAACTGAGTTCCATAACACAGAACCATACTCTAACTTAGATCTGGCATACGCAAAATAAAGCAATTTTAAGGTGGCAATACTTTTGAAGTTTTTGCCATTTCTGTAAATGAATCCAAGCATCCTATTTGCATCGGCAGTCATATTCCTTATATGTGTTGTAAATGTTAATTTACTGTCGTATGTTATACCAAGATCTTTTATCTCATGTACGCGGATGATTGTAGTTTTGTTGTCGTGAATGATATTATTTTACATTTGGATACGTTCAGTTGTAGACGATTATTATTACACCAAAGTTTGATTACATCTAATTCATGTTGTACACATTGGCAGTCGGTAATGTCGTCGATTTTATAATCAAGTTTCAGGTCGTCTGCAAATAGTAGGCTAGAAATATTCAAAGAGGTTGCCAAGTTATTAATAAAAATTAAGAATAAAAGAGGTCCAAGATTAGAACCTTGTGGTAACCCAGATGTAACTACGTACTGGGCCGATTTGACAGATTCATATTCGACGAATTGTTTTCTGTTAACTAGATATGATTCAATTAGAGTAAGCAGTTGGTTAGAGAGTCCAAATTTGGTCAATTTGCTGAGAAGAACGTAATGGTCTATTTGATCGAAGGCTTTTTAAAAGTCTAAATAAACAACATCGACTTGTTTTTGCTTGTCCAGGTACGTACAGAGATATTGATTTAAACATGCAAGATTTGTCATGCATGATCTTTGTTGTACGAAACCATGCTGGGTAGAAGAAATTACTTTTTGAATATGGGAGTTACATAACATTTTGCACACATATCTCGAAGAGTTTAGAAAAGTTACATAAAATTGAAATTGACCTGTAGTTTGTGATATCGCTAGAGTCACTTTTTTTTAATATTGGACAAATTCAAGCCGTTTTTCACTGCTCGGGGAAGGCACAAGTTGATAAAATTAAGTTGAATATGCCTATTAGAGGTATAGAGAGAACGTCGATACAGTCCTTTATCACAAGACTAGGAACATTGTCAACGCCTGCGGTGAGTTTATTTTTCAATTTTTTTGAAGCAGTAATAATATCGATTTTAGAGAAGGCAGGGTTGTTTAATGTATCTAAATAAGAATCATGAAAATTTTCACTAAGCATATTCTCGTCCGAAACCAAGTATACACTTCTGAAGAACTTTGCGAATCCATTGAAAATATCCCCAGGCTTATCAAATACCTCATCATCAAGTTTCATTATACCCGGTATACGCGAATGACCTTTTTTACTATGTATGAAAAACCAGAAAGTCGAGCTGTCAGATAAAATATTATTTTCAGCTAAGTTTGTAAATTGACTATATGCTGCTTTTATTTTAGTTTTGATGCGTTATATAAAAGGTATTGGGTAGTTATGCAGTAGTAGCTGACTTTTACCTTCATGTCTCTAGGTGGTAGTTTCAAAACAAAGTTGATATTTCTCTTTACCTTCAAAAATTTGTTTGTATGATAGTGAATAATTTCATCGTTTTCGATTAAGAGCGTTTTTGTGTTTTGTTTTTTCCAGATGAAATTCAATTCCTTTGAAGCTTTACACTATTTCTTTCTACTCATCATTGGATACATACCTACTAACTTCATTCAAAGCTCCCATTATTTTATCGAGGGTTGGAATTTCTTAAAATAAAATGAATGAACTATTCTTCTAATTGCAAGTTTGTAGTTATCATCAACAGGTCCTGAATATAATTTTAGTGATTTCACAGCTTTATTTTTTCTCCCACTCTTGTATTTACAACTACAGGGCTATTCAAATGCGTTTCTGTACATGGTGATCTCGTAAACGATAAGAGATAAAGTGTCGGTTAAATTATGGCAAAGTTGCGTATTTTAGAGACCTATTCAATGATGTAAAGATCTCGAATATAGCTCTTCTGGTTCTGGAGATATACAGGAAAAACCAAAAAATCCCAAATTATTTTTTTGCCTATATATCTTCTTTATTCGCAGACATATTGAAAATCTGTCCACATTTTGCTATTGGCACTTGATGTGAGCTCTCAGAATATATCCATGAATCTTTTATACAGGGTGTCATCTGACTTGGGCCCCCCCATCTTTGAATTTTTAAATACGGACCTGTATTTTTTATTGTAGTTTTTGAATCGTAGACATTCACTTCATACTGAGAAATTAAATTCAATTTTATATTTCGGGATTTTTCGGTAATATTGGATTATAATTGTGTGAATTATTCCCTTTTGAATTACGGCCCTGGAAATTGGTTGACTGAGTTGAATAAAAACATATTAGCAACTTTCACGTCTCCCTAAGTACCGTAAAGTTTTTAGAGAGTGTTTTTTTCATTTTTTCTACCAGAGTATCAATGGTATATGAAGGATTTTGGTGTTTAAGAGCGTCATTGTCAAAAACAGCACATTTGCTCATTCATTTTACTGGAGGGAAAACTAAAGTAACCAATTTAATTCATAGACTAATTATAATTTACTAATAATGACACTGATTGAGGGCTTTATCATTGATTCATATTCTACAATAAATAAAGTCCTAATTTAATCAGGTAAACTGTATATGTAAGTGATACAATTAAAAACTGCTTTTCATTTCATAAAAAATACCAAAATATTTGGTAAACAAAGTTGATATTATTTTGGTTGAATAGTGATTGATATAAGTTTTGAAATGTTATTATTTTCAGGAACCATTTTTGTGCCAAATTTCCTAATTGTTCTGGATAGATTTTTTTCTTCCATTTTTTATCTAAAATAGACTGTGCACGATATTTGTCTTCTTGTCTTTGGAAAGTTACCATTTGGAAATTATATTAATTCAGAAGTACTATATATCTAGAAATTCAAAATAGTATTTTTACCAATTAATCTCCCTACAAATAATGGAATGAATATTTCATTTCCACAAATACCGCGAGAAATATTTCCTTCTCAAGTCATCTCTGAGTAATAATGAACAAGAACCAAGTTAATCATACATTTGTCATACAATTCGTAATTTTATAAAAATTGCCTAAAAAACAGAGGTGTTTCAGGTACCAGTTGCCAATAATATAATTTATAAGGGTTTATGTCAATAATTCCATCGGAGATCCATCAAAGATTACTTTCCCTAATTTTCATTTTGAATCGGGATATCCCTCATATGAGTACCTATATGATTTAGCAGTTTCAACCCAAATTTTGAAGCTTTTAAAAAATAATGAATGATCCAATAGGGTTCTCTACATTCAAAATTCGAAGTGTCCCACCAAGTTAATAATTAAAAATTAAAATATTGAAACAGTGAATATGAGTTACAGGAAAATTCAGGAGAAGAAAATGAATAAATAGGATCAAAATAAATAGAATAGACCAACCAATAAATATAAAAATATAACACTCACCTGCTATTGTGAACCTGTCCATATAGTTTATAAGATTGACAAAACATAATACAAAAACTGCAACCCACTCGCGAAAAGTAACATCACGCAAAGTTTTCTCACGTTGCTCACCAACTTCTTCAGATCCTTGAACCAGCTCTTGTTGAGACTCGTTCGGTGCAATTTCGGTAGTTTCCATTTTGAATTTTTTCATAAGAAAATTTGAACCAACTTCTAATTTCTCGGACGGCATAACCGGTAAGAGTAAATTAACCTAACTTCACAAGAGTTCAAAAGAGAATGACGGCGGTTTGTTACGTTTTCCATGTTGGATGGTTCTGAACACGCATGCGTCAACATCACCTGATGATCAGTCTGATGATTTGTCAGAAGGAGTTAGGTTATGAAATATGGGAATTCCTTGACGCAATAAAAATTGTTCACATACTAAAAAATGAGTATTAACTTCATTTCCAATATCACATCTTTGTACACAGTAACAAAAACTCACAGGAATACACACACTAAACAAAATTCACAAATCACCTTTTATCAATGAACTTGACTCATAGGTCAGTTACAAGTTGGTCATAAACAGGGAAAACAAGAGAATAAAGCACAATTCACAATACACAAAGAACTTTGCGGCACCGTTGCCAAATTTTTTGCTGATAATCGGCTGCAGTCTGATCATGGAACTAAATGAAGCGCCTAATCACCCATGATTATTTTTATTTCCAAAGTGAGTTTTTCTTATTGTATGATTTTTTCTTCACAATCGAATAATGATTTTTATTAGGATTTCAGGCTATTGATGTAGCGCCTAGATACTATTATGGTCAAGAAAGCTCATCTATTTCTATATTTGATCCAATGACTTGAATAGTTCAGGAATTCGATCTAAACATTGGCTTCGAAGGCAGTGAGGAACAATATCCTGGGGTGAACGATGAGAAGAAAATAATTATTGAAAGGATTATCAACATTCAAAATCTTAATTTGATGACAATAATTTTTTTTCCTTTTGACATAAAATGTATAGGAATAGTCACAAATGAAGAAAGTCAATGCAGGTGATATAACAGTTACACGGTTCTCGTATGGTGCACGGACTTGAAAAATATTAAAATTATGTATGTCCTTTCACACAGAGAGTTGTACTAAAAATTAAAAATATTCACTGGATATAATGAGAGTCCAACTATTTATTATCCAAAATGAGTGCTGTTACCAAACACCAAAGCTGCAATATTCTTCTGAAGTACGTTTCACCAACCAAGTTGACGATTTCAGGGAATAGAATAGGGTCGACTCAAGTAAATGAAGACGAAAACTTAATACGCTAGAAAAATGTTGAGTTCAAGTGTTTCATTTTAATATATCTCGAACATTAGGTTATATTATTTCTCCATATCGTATACTATTATTGTTATAACGATCGAGATTCACATTTCAAAGGCAAAAAAAACATATGCATAGGAGATATTGAGTATACCTCCCTCATAGTAACAGTATTAAATCCAGTACAATGAAGTGACTTTAATATTGTAATTTCCATCAGCAAATCAGTTGATATCTGCAATCAGTGCATTTTTAACACGACCTCTTGAGTCTTAAATATCGTGCACAGAAATCATACATAAGTTCATGAGATCTGTGAGGTCGTACGGCCTAAACTGTTGATGAGATATGGCGAATAATGAGAAAATACAAATGCCATCATGTAAGTTTTTTACATATGAAAATTTCAATGATAATGACATTGATGAAGCAGAAAAGACGAAATATCGTTATTGCAACCCTTCGCCTCTTTGGAAAGACAACGCAACTTGTACGAAAATTTTAGAACGTTTAAATCATTATTGTCAAAGAGGTAAAAATTTGAAATAATTTTTATGACTATAGAAATTTCATCATTATTGTAGTCAATTTATACAATTGTCGATGATTGATTGTGGGTGTATTCCAGTTTTTCAGAATGTTGGATTTGAATCGCTGGAGATTAAACTCATTTGGGAAAACGTTCTTAGGAAGTTCATTCCACATGAACGCGGTTCTCCAAATGAAAGAGTTCTCAAACAGTCAAGTTCGAGGAGTATTGAGCTGAACCTCAAAACGATGAGCAGCCACAGTCCGCCGCGTATTTTTGATATGTACCGCTCTTGGTGTAATCAAATGTGCCAAGTCACTTGAACACCTCCCGTGAAAGTATCTATAAAAGAGAGACAAATCTCTAACCTTTCTTAGATGTTCCAGACTCTCAAGGTTGCAAGTGATGGTCGTGTCTCCAGTCAGGCGGATGGCTCTTTTCTGGATGGAATCCAGCAGCTTCAGGGTATGCTTAGGTGAGGAGATCCTGACATTACATGGGTAATCATCATGAATATTGTATATTATAATATCTATGGTAATTACATCCAATACCCCTTTTATAAATCCGCCCTTGCCTGTTCACTAGTTCAAATATATCATCCGACAACACTGCAAGAAAGTTCATCGTTCAGAGACGAACTAACATAGAAGTCCTGTCACTGTCATCTGTAAGTTGTTTTCACAATTTTTTTAGTGCTTTTTACCAAGTTAGCAAAAGTAATTTATTTTATCTATTTATTATTTTTTGACGTCTATAGTTTTAGTAATCGCACCAAAAACTTTACTTTACCAATTTAAAATGCAGAAATCTTAAAAACATAACCTAAGTTTCTGGCATTCAATTATTCGGATCAGCTAGTACTTTGAGGTACTGTAAAATTGATTTTGTAATAACATATTAAATATTTGTCATCTTTTATTATCGAGCATTTGTGAAATAACTAATACCAAGTGAGCACATAGGTCAATACAAGTGGAACCTCATCTTCCCATAAAAGATGTATTATTTGTCTTGGAAAACAAATATTCATTGACCTGACTATAATTTTCTTAAGATTCAATGCAATGTCCACCACTAAATTTGAAGGAGAACTACAAATAGTGATGAAAATGTTGGTAAAGAATATAAGGATGATATTGATATTATCATGATCTTAACTATAAATATTGTGATGAAGGAAGCAAAGGCTCATGTGATGTAGCAAGCATTTTATGAATTGTAAATGTTTAAATCAAATTATCTCAATGTTATATTAAAATCTCAACTCATATAAATATGAGTTAAGATTTTGAACCGTTTTTTCAAATTACAAGTAACATATCGGTTTATTCTGACAAAAGTTATTTAAATCAATTGAAGTGAATCTCTCAAAGAAGTCAAGAGTTTGCTGATTGTAGCTGTCATCATTAAACATACTCTTGAAAAGGCAAATTCACAGGTATTACTCAGAATTTGGAACTCTCTTTTAGCTTCATCAAGGTTAGATATTTGTTCATTCTGATAAAAATTAATTATTCCTTCTAATCTTTGATGCAAAAAATTAAGACAAATTATTCATAGACATATTGCTGAAATTTTAACTTTTTTTGTAACTAAGTACCCGATTTTTTTTACTGGTGTCATCGGCATCAACTACATTGGTCATTAGTCTTGTGTCGGCAATGTTAATAACTCCCCGAGCCACCTAGGGAGCATCATGGCTATTCGCAGTCCTTGTAACGTTGCAGAATCAAACTACCTGATTATCCAGACTATTATTTTACAACTTTTCAGTTAAATCTCCATGACATTATAAAAAAGAATACAAATTCACATGATGCATAGGAATCCTGGTGTTTTTGCCAATTCACTTTTGTTCTGTCAAAAACTCTCGAATCAAGAAATGAGATTAACCGAATTTTGTACACATGTTCAAAGATGGTACAAATTTTAAAATCAAAATCAGTTGAGCACGTTTTGTTCAGATCTATAACTTATGGGCCATAATGTACTATAGATTTATTCCCAAATGTAAACAACATTGAAAATTGAAGTGCCAATTTGACATTGTCAAGCAGTGTCAGTGAGATGTACTCAGCACCTTTATGAATGAAATACTGAAAATTATTGGATCTCTATTACTTCCTTGTCTTCATATATTGAAAGTCAATGTGAGAAGTTGAGGAGTAATTGTTGTACGTTGAGGTTCATGATAAGTTACTGTTAGCAAATTTTCTCTATTTAGAAGAGGGGTCTTGAAATTATTGCTCAGAGAGGCTGGTGACAATAATGTAAAGATACATTTAAAATATTTGGAATACTCACTTTTATGAACTGGGTGCATCCAGTCAGCATCAAAATTGGATCCGGTCTAGAAATTTATTAATATCCAATGCACATCGAACCACACTGTATCACAGAAGTCAACTTCATATTGGGCGGAAGATTTTCAGTAAATTAACGAAAGCTACTTCTTGGTATGATCTACACGACTTTGTAAAGATTTTATTTTGAAATAATCGCTTTCTTCATTTCTATGGAAGATTCCCACATTTTTTGTATAAGAATGGAGAAGTAGAAAGTCAAAACCTTTCTCAAGAATTAATCTCTCCTTAAAATATACCCCTTTCAATTAAATCAAATAAGATGTACTGTTTGATAACATGAGTAGATTTGACTCATTTGTGATATAAGGTTGTAATTTTATGAATGGATTGAGTGTTTTATCTTGTAAATTTATCCAGATTGTTGAAGACAAGTGTCTTATTCTGGAACATCGATGTCTGTCATTAAGGATGATAGTGTTGTAATTATACCTCTTGAATATACTATATTGTGTAGCAATCCTATGAATGATATCTGAATAAATTCAATAACGAATGTTTGGAGTACAAATTGAATAGGAAAAAGTTTTTTTTGTATAATTCAATGTTTATATAAAAGTAGTTGTTTCTGAAGTATTTTTTCTTCTTATAATTCAATCAGTATCAGTATTGGATCTAGTCTAGAAACTTATTGATACTCAATGCACATCGAACCATACTGTATCAGAAAAGTCAACTTCATATTGGGCAGAAGATTTTCGGTAATTTAGACTTACTTCTTTGCATGATCAACACAACTTTGTAAAGAGTTTTTTTTTTTTTAATCAATTGCTTTCTTCGTTTCTTTGAAATATTTCAATACTTTTTGTATGAAGATGGAAATGTAGAAAGTTGAAACCTTTCTTTCCCAAAATTTAATCTCTCCTAAAAATATACCCCTTTCAATTCAAATTAAAAAAGGATCTTGTTGATGAAAAATTCTACACCTTTAAAGGTTTTGGATTTCAGGTTTAGTGAGGATGTCGAGCAATTCTGCATGTCATGATTGGAAACTTGATAGATATCATTATCATAATACTCGTAATAAAAACCATATTCGAAATTGAATAACATGTTTCATTTTTGTACAGAAAAATGTTCTTTTTTCTGTTACTAGTTTATATAACAAAATACTTGATTTCATCAGAAACTTACCCCTTAGAAAGATGAAGAAGAATCTGAAAATCATGCTTTTATAAAATGCATATTATTCATTTGTTTTCTGATTTGTATTTGTTTGCTTTCATTTCTATTTCATTTTTTTAAAGATTTTTGTATGGTATTGTGTTTGTCTGTTTGTTTTAATAATTTGACAAGTTCTACACCCGTAAGGGTCCTTGCACCAAAAAACTAACAAACATTATCTATCTGCACTTCATTTGACTTCTGCAAATTCTCTATTGATTTAACTTTCTCGTTTTTCAGATTGTGGAAGGTTATACATCCAAAAGACAGTAGGAAGCATCGACTACTCCACAAAAAATTGTCGTTCAAAAAATATATTTATACTGTTTTGAAAGAATTTGTGGAAGAATATGAGAACGTATGTTTGAAATTCTCACAATTCAACACATTCAATCGATTATGGGAGGTATAACATTCGAAAAATCTATGGAAACAATTATTATGAGTCCTATAACTATAGATCCCACTAACCGTCCAAGCTTAAGGGATGCTCTTAGCTGGTTTTCACAGAATATTCAAATGTTCTTGATTCGATGAAATCAAATCTAATTTGTAACCCAACCTAGCCTACAGCAATAAATGAAACCAAAACTGAAGAAAAAATATCATTAGGTATATAATGGTATTGACGGTTTTTGCAATATTTTCAATTTGTAATGAAACAAATCTTACCAGTTCCAGAATGAAGTAAGTAATTTCCATTGAAAACATTGTTTTTTAAATTTCCAAAAAGCAAAAATACGTTGTTTTGAAAAGCACCTACATATTGTTTATTATGTCGTTTTAATATATTTATATATAGTCTGACTAAAATCCGAGCAAATCAAGAAAATTTTCTGAAATACAAGGCAAAATATTACACTGTCGTTTCTAAATTGGTCATATGATACTTTAAAGAAATCCGCCAATATATGTACTAATGAAATATAATTTATTGAAATAATACACTTACATGGTATTCAAAAGAAGTAGGGAAACAACTAAAAATGTACAGGTGGATAGGTAACAAGATCATTTGAATAACACTTTGAAATGCGTCACAGCTACATATACTATATTTAAGTACGTTACTTTTTTAAGATGAATAGCACAGATATAAATATTTTACGTTCCAACTATAATATTATAATCAACAACAGTTAGATTATTGCATATATTAATCAGTTCACATCAGAAAATATTGGTTAATATTCTTTGGAATATACCTATATGAGTTTGTATAGTTCAAAACCGGTAAAATTTCAATTTATTAACGAGAAAGTTCCCTGCAAATTTGGAATATATCATAACAGTAAAAGTGCAAATGCAATCTGGAATGAGTAATATGTATTATTCAATGTACGGTAATCCCCAACACTGATGAATACATTCTATAAAATCGTTGATAAAAGTACAAATTGCCATTTTGGCATGTTATTTCGAACCAACCATTCCTTCACCTTCAAAAGGTGGTTGATGTAAAATCGGTCACTTGAAAAATTCACATTCAAGTTTTTACCTACTAATGTTATTCGAAAAATGGCCATTGTTTATGAATCTGAATAACATTCAAAAACTACTTGCTGACTTTGTAACAAGAGGTTTTTACTTCACAATCACGAATTATAGTTTACACAATGTATTATGCAAGTTATTACTGCATAGATGAGTGGGTTTAAGTTTGAATGAAAAACCGGCACTGACCTGAATTCAATATGGGAAATTAGAAAACAGGATGTTATCTAGTCTAGCAAGGGGCTCCTCCAAAAACGACTTTTGAAAAATCAAAATCAAATGAGAGTCCTCTATAGTATTTATCATGCTATTCATTCATATTGAAATTAATTTCAATTCTATTATAGGTGAGAAAAAGTTTTGTATTACACCTAGATCTCGTAGGGCAGTTGGGCACACTATATACAATCCGGAAAAGTAACAAGAGCGTTATTTCTGAGAGTTATACTAATAAACATAACCTAGAACCCAATTCTACATGTGTCCTAGAGTCCAAACTGATTCAAATGTTGCAGATCTCCTCAATTATATTTTCTGAAAGAACTCCATATGTTTATATGATTTCAACTGTGTGTTATAAAGACAACGAAATGGTAGGAGAAGGAATATTTCTTTCATTAATATCTTACCTGCAATTTCCAGTATCATAGTCACAGCCCATTTCATTTGCATGAATGTATATATAATTCACTTATTTAAATATTCAGGAATGCTTTTAGATGATCTTGATAGATAATGCTAGTTCAAAATTCATATACTACAGGTTGTACAGGACCTAAAAGTCCTCTCTCAAAACTTCAAGTCAAAATCACGAACTATCAGACAAGTAGTGTAGTTTTTGCTAAAAATATTACTCGAATCGGATGGAAAAATAATACCTATTATTTTAAAGTGAATTTTAGTATCCTGTTATATTTCTCATAAAAAGAAAAATGTTGATAGAACCAGTTATAGTTTCTTCAATCTTATCGACCTAAGGGCAATAAGACAATCATCTAGTTTGTCGTGATACTTATCACAAAGTTGACGCATAACTGATTGATTTATATTGAATCTATATTAATAGAACGAAATTTTTGACTTGTTTTACCATGTTATGGAAGGCATCTCCGAAACTTGATTATAGAAGTGGTAACTTTATTGGCCTTAATATACCATAAAATATAGAGTTTTTTACTTTTCCTTTTCATGTATGTAGTTACTTATCTCTACAATACTTTCTATAATATCATTAGTACTTTATCTCAATATTAAGAAATTTAAAAATATGGGTTCACATTCTTTTCAAATGCATTACTGATATCACTTTTTACAAGAAATATCCATGAGATACATATCACATAAAGGAAATAAACGCCAGTGCCGTGGTCAAAGGTCATTTACTCCAGGATACATTTATTGGAGAAACTAATGATACTGACTGTAACCATTTGCTATAAGACCAAGAAATGTACTGGTACACTTGAAGTTTTTTAATGTTTCAATACGAGATTATATTCAGTGGTAGTGTTAGTTACAACTACCTCTCATTAGTACTTTGGGATACTGAAATGAAGATATAATGTTTAATATAAAAGTATAAGATATGACTTCATTCATCCTAATTAAATTATTTAACAATTTACAGGGTACCAAATGTGAATTTGGCAACTCATTTATGTTTTACCCATAATTATCCAGTAAAAATATTTTGTTCATAGTTAGTTTTTTTACCTAATATGTAATTTGTACTTGATAGTCAACCCTTATGTTTAATTGGTGCCATACTGTTATTAGATCTGTATCTATTGTTATGGCCTTTTTCATAAATAAATAAAACTTTATTGAAAAGTTTCTCTTTTAACAAATAGCGGGGGAAGATGGCTGAAAGTGTTGAAATTATATATACTCACCTAATTTTGGAAAATGATGTTTGTGCAAAGTACCCATATGAAATAAAATAATGGGTCTTTGTTCTATTGGAGAAAATCAAGAAAGAATTGCAAATGCAAATGCAAATAAAATGGTAAAATGAATATTTCATGACAGTAAACCCACATTTTTAAAATATATTCATAACAAAACGTACTGTGTAGAGTTTTTGGGAAAACTGAAGCCATAGAATAGTGGAATGTTACCATTTTTGAATCTTTTACCTATATTTTTTGTAAACACATTTCAGGAGGGAAACAATGTAATGTTTGCTTGAAGGTTGTTGACAATGTTTCGTGGTGTATTTCATCAGTTCGGACTTCCATTGTCTAATATAATATATTTTAATTTTCATTTTTAATTTTTTTGTTATTAATGTTTTTAATTTTTTATTAATATTTCAATTTTGTATTTTTTTATTTTTTTTGGTTGTTGCTTGTATGTTATTTCTTTGTAATTACAGTTTTTGTTTAATAAAATTGTTATTTTCGGTTAATCTTTTAAATTTTTTTCAGGAATTTCAAATCAATTTATATTATATTAGACAATGGAAGTCCGAACTGATGAAATAATGTAACGTTCATTTGAAAAAAAACAACTACCATTCGCCATTTAATTCGGTACTCTATATATTTGTGAATAATTTCAAAAGAAGGAGTGTATAATTTCTTTTATAAGAAATGTTTTTAGATAACTTCTTTATTCCTTTATTTCAAAATTCTCATGGAAGTTCGATGCGACAGAATGTTAATATGAATACTAGTTCAATTCAAATTGAAGAACTCTTGCATGATTTATTTGGGTAAAGTTTTTTACTGTTTTCAACTAGGAATTGCACTGATCATATGCCTTATTCGAGATCATATATTTTTGTATAATAGAGTTTAAGTATCTAACATCCTTGAATATATAAAAAAGAGAAAAATAAAGAACAAAAATCTGAAGGCGCCCCAAAATATCAGAAACACGTTAGGATCACAATAAATTGAATGCATTTAATGAATCTGTCCGTGCATTGTTTGGCTTACGTTTTTGTTCATCCTTCTAAAAGAAAACTTGAGTTATACTCAAACATTTATGCATACAATTATGGTATTCAAGGAAGTTGGACTAGTTTTGGCACTCTATTCAAGCGCAGTGACTGCTAAAAATTGGTTGTCAGTTCCAATTAAATACGAAAATCACCACAGCAAGATTTGTAATATTCATAACCTAAGCTATTGCCCAGGTGGAAAAAACATCTTACGAAATTGTGGTAGAATCACATTCTTGGTTAACTCTCTTTCTCTAGCCCTGCCAAAGTTTTCACCATCTGGGTATACTTTAATCAACATGTAGTATAACTAGAATCAAAACGAAGACAGCCTTTGAAGCGTTTCATAACTAGTATGTATACAATAACTTTATGCCGGTTTTGCATTCTTTTGATTCCCCCTATACTTTTTACCCTCTCCGTTCTGGTAATGGTTATTATTTGAACCTTTCCTACCATTATACTGACTTTCATTGATTGGTAAACTAGGTAATGCATTAGAGCCTTCGGCAGGTGCTAAGTTATTTCTCTCGTGGCCTCTACCACCTTGCCAATAGCTCTGAGAATGAAGTGGCGGGAACCAATGTCCTCTGTAATTATTCCCTCGGTATCGACTTCCGCCTCCTCTTCCAGAATGCTGCCCGGAACGAGGATTGAATCCGTTTTCCCCAATTCTTTGCTGGTAGCCTCCTTCTCTTGGAGAATAATGTGAGCCATTTTCACGGCGTGAATCTGAATTTTCTCTGCGCAGGCGTCTTATTATAACTTCCGCGTCATCCAGTTTTCGTAATAGCTCTGGATCCGGTCGAACAGCTCGTTCTCGTTCTTTTTCACGATCTCGTTCGTAGCGTTCCAATTTCCTTAAAAAAACATTATTTTTATAATTGAGGAATATACATATTTTGGTGAAATATAAAATCTATAGTATCTACGAATGTTAGGATTCACACGTTAAAAGGTAAGACCTCGTTAGTCTTACTCGCACAAGTTTCTCAACTTCTGAGAGTTGTCGTTCGTATGGGGGTGACAGTTGATTAACGGAAAAACAGATTTTTTTTAAACAGATCAAGAAGTGCAATAGTAATAAAAAGTTTTAATCTTCAAGAGATGTTACTCAAATTAGGAAGTACTTAAAAATGAATTTCGAGGTTAGATTCAGTTGAACCTCGAAGCAAGAAACAGGTGCAGTTTTCTGTAAGTTTCTGACGTTTATTGCTCTCGGGCTCTCGAGGCAGATGACTTTTCCTGTATAGAATTTAGCAGTTTCAGAGTAAACTGAAATAGTCCAAATAAGGTCTAATTTAAGATAAATCGAAGCGTGATAGGAAGTGGGTACCCTGAAATGATTTTGTCCGGTTTTTTCACGTTTACCTTCTTAGGAAAAACTGATGCTTGCGTTTTCGTAGCATTGAATTCTATTCATTCTAAACAGAAATTTCTTCTAGATTTAAATGAAGATGTGAACTGGTCTATGTTAAGAGACAAGTTAAGAGTTAGTAAAGAGTTTAATTAGTAAACCATGATATTAAATATGGCCGTAGGCCGTGAACATATCCAAAACAACAGCAGAGTTTTTGGAATGAAGTATTCTGAATGGTGGTGACATATCTGAGAAGGTTGTCCATTCTTCTTCGCTTCCGGAAACCATATTTATGTTCACTTGAGCTGTTGAAGAATTCCCAACATTTATTATTATTAGTAGATATCACTAATAATAAAACAACTAGTCTGTAGTTATTTGGAAGAGTTTTCTTATCTTCTTTGACTAAAGGTTGAGTTTGAATAGTTTTACAACAAAAACGATAAACTATAAACTCATTTTCTGTAAGGCATGTTGAAGAGTTTCCAAAACAATGGTGTAAATTTATTGAAGCATTTATCGGTACGATAACAGGAATTTCATCAGGATCGGTAGCTTCATTTATGCTGAGCTGTTCATCTAGTAAAAATCATCTAGTAAAAAGGGCAAGCAACGACACACTTCTAACTAGAAAAAATTCATTCAGAAATGAAATAAGTTTTTGGTCAGACAAACCCAGTGGAGATTTTATGGACTGCAAAGTTCAGTACCTATTGATTGACATATTTTTATATTTCAGCTAGTAGGATTTTCGTTTGCTAATTTTCCCGATTTTCGATTGTGTCAAGCGAAACTTTCTTTTCTAAAACCATTTGAGAGTATCGCTATGTCCACGGGTGCTCTCTCAATTCTTTCTTGATTTTTCATACCACATTTAAGGAGCATACTTACTTTGTTCATTTATTAGATTTTTTCATTTATTTTTCAGGTCAATCAGGTTTGTGGCAAGCAGGCAAAATATTCATTTCTACTGAAAGAATTTATAGTTTCTCTTGAATTTGTTTCCATATGCCTTTATTATCTAATCAGACCCAAATAGATGTACCAGCCCTGCCGACTGACAACAAATATTGAAAGAGTTTATTCACCCATAAAACAATTGTTTTCGCTATTGAATTTGGCTATTTGGTTCATGAACCCTTCCGCGCGGTTAGCAGTGTAATTAGTAACTAGATTATCGGCTTTTCAACTGAGGTTTCCGATCATTTTCATTATTCTCAAAGGAGAATATATTGGCGCTTCATAGTAGTCACTTCTAGAACTGACCTGGATTTGATTTCTTGGGGAGAACCTATTCAACAGAAAATGTGAATCTAAGCTAAAATAAATTGAAAAATCCTAGTTGGCTCGTTTATAATCTGAAAAAGTCAACTCACGACTTTGATCATCATTGATGTTTGGAAATTTCAAATGTTGTTATTTGGGTGCAAAAAAAATTGATGGTGTTTGAAAATAAAGAAAATAGTGAACTGGGTGTGTCGTTTAGTCAGTTGACGCATCTTATGAATCTAGTGATTTCATATGATGCCGTAAACCATATATGACAAAAAAGTTTCACAGTTCTAATGTTTTCTCTTGTGGGGAAGATTGATTACTTTCGATAAAAGAAAGAATTCTAATTTCATTGCCTAATCATAAAGTGAAAGCGTAGCCTGGATATAAGTGTAGATAGATTTTAGTTTCGGTTAGGGCCAACTATATGGACTATTTTTCGGTGCACCGAATTAATATTCAAGTTTTGAAGTTCTGTATCTGTATTTGTAGAGTAGGGAGGGTGAGTGCGTAGCCCCACACCACATCCTCCCAAGGAGTTGTCCTCCTAGGTCATCGTCTATCCTGTCCTTTCCAGGAAGGTGAACAGGTCTCTGGGAGACATCTCCTTCATATCGGCAGGTGTAGGCCAAGACTCGCTAAACACACATTTTCTTATTGACGATAACTCCAGACATTCGCATAGAACATGCCTGAAAGTTTCATCTTCCTGTTGACACATCCTGCATAGAGCTGTGTCCACTAGCCCCATATTGTGAAGTTGTTTCCCTAGTTGACACAGGCCAGTCAGAAATCCTACTGTTAAGCGTCATCGCCAGATATTTCTTCGGCGCCAGCTTCCCAGGGTCGCCCAGGGTGATCCTGGCAAGATTGTATCTTTTGATTTCATCCCATCTCTTTAGGGATATAGCATGGATGTGACGTTTGGCTAGTTCCGCAATTGTCGAAGTCATCAGGCCGTAGGTGCCACTGGGTGCTAACATTCTTAGTCCAGCCGCCTCCTTGGCTAAAGAGTCTGCAATGCGATATCTGAGTCTGTGTTCTGTTTTATTTGTATTTTGTAGGGTTTATTAAACACAAACCTGGGTTCAATTGCATCCCTGGTTGCCTGCAGCAGAGATTACGCAGTGAGCGCTTCTCGCCATAGGCTCAGCCTCAATTGACCCATTCCTACTTCAAGGTTTACACCAGCTGTGCGCAATCGTAACAACATGAAGTTGTGACTGGGTCTATGAGCGGTGGTTTTCACATCGATGAAATATTGCTTATTATATTGTAAACAATTGGGAACATAGCACTGTAGGAAGTCGGTCTACTCTTCGTGAATAAGTAACAACATGTGCCTTACAGTCAACTGAATCCTACAAACAAGATCGTGTATTCTATTTCTTATCTGATGCTGGTATGAGTACAATACACAACCCATCGTTTAAACTCAGTTTGTACTTTTTTTTTCAGTTACATGAATTCTACGACTTTGTAAAACAACTAACTGACAGATACTGATTGATATTTCTCCATTTCATTCAATTGTAGATAAAATAGCATCGTACATTTTTCCATTAACAAATATAAGTAGATCTTTTTTGTAATATTGTATTTATATGTATATTAATGTTAACATTACTATCATTGTTGTATATTAGGATGTATCTTATTTGAATAAAGCATTTCAATATTCAACATGATATATTTGCAACAATTTTATGCCACAGTTCCGATTATTAATACCTTTCTTATTCCAACAATTTACTTATTGTAAGTATAATTTAAGGAAAATATTTCGTTTAGTACAGATGATAACCAAAAGGTGGATATGGAGGTTTGCTAACTTTAAGGCATAACAGGTTTTTGTTGATGATACTCAACTATTATATGTAGGAAACTTACCTCTTTTGTTCATCAACTATTGCTGACAAATAAACATTTCTACTTTCCGTTTCTTCCAACTGCAGTTTGAGTTCTCCTAGTTCCTTCTCCAAGATCTCCACCTGAAGCGGTGTTATGTTAAATGTTTTTGGACTTGAGTAAACCTTGAACATGAAAAATGTTAGAACGAAATTTATACATTCACTAATAAATTTACCTTGTGTTTATTGTCATCTTCGGGGGAAGAAGGAGACGAAGGAGATGCTCCTTTTGAGAAAACCAGTTGGTACTGCAATTCTGAAATCAAGGTATGTAGTACAAATATACATATGGCATTTGGCAATGATTTGGCATGGCATTTCAGGTTAGCTTCCCAAATTTCTGCTACCGCAGTTGTCGGTTGATTGGTCAAACCACCAACACTGACATAACAACTTGGCAAGTTGACTTGGGTGTCACACCAATAGGTGGTTCCACTTATGTTTCGCTTGCGTTTACTCAGCTATTTTTATCAAGTACTTTCTTGGTTTTTCTCATTTAAATCCTTTTTGTAAAATGAATACTCTTTTAAGTTAGTCCAAGCTTTCGGAAAACTTTATTTCCATCATCAGAGAAAATCTTATGTGGAGATGGTTACATTGATGTTGAAGAATAAATATTGAGACATTGGTGAAGATGGAACTTGATATACAATTCTGAATAATTAAAAATTATTTTTTATGAAATATTACTTTCGTCAGACCGTTATTCACCTCGTGCGTGCAAGATTCTTGCAAGATCCTCCCTCAATAAAATTTATGTTTTTTTATCAATATGAATTATAAGAACTCATATGGTAGCACTCGCCAAATTTACAAAAATCCAATCTTGATCAGCTCTACTTGGCATATGATTGCAGAATTAAAGACGTGATAAAGTTCCTAAGATATTCATACATAATATCGAGGATGTCCACTATATAAAATTATTTGAAATCCCTGAAATAACTAAAAAAGAAGAATTAAAAATGAATAGCTGAAAATAACAATTATATTAAGCAAAATAAACCTGAAATGAAATAATAGTGAAATAAAATACAAGTAAAATAGAAATATTGAACAAAAATAAATAAAAATAAAGAAATGAAAAAAAAATAAAAAGTTGAGAGATTCCAAGTCACGTTAGTTCACGACATTTCGATTGTTAGTATCTACAATCGTCTCCGGGTGATGACTGGACTGATTCCTCCGAGAAATGACTATTTATAGGTCATTCGAGTACTTTCACTTATCCCCGCTTTCAATTTTCCGCTTCACTGGTTCCGTGGGAGATGATCGTTTGGCGGGAGTTGGTCATTTTTCGCTTGATGATGGGTTTCCATATGTTGCGTATTTCTACGCTGGCTTGGCTGAATTTTCTCCTAAACCAATGTTCTTCTCTGTGCAAGATCTCAGCTTGGGACCACTCGATTTTGTGTTGATGGGTCCAAACATGGTCTGCTATTCCTGATTTGCTGGTTTCCCCTCGCTGTGTGTGTTTCTTGTGCTCGGTGATGCGAACATTCAATGACCTCTTAGTTTCATCAATATAGGATTTTCCTCACTCACAGGGCATCCAGTAAATGCAATTCTTGGAATCGCAGTCCGCGTTTGCTGGCCTGAGTTTTGTGAGGCTGCTACGGATAGTGTTACCGGATCTGAAGCAGGTTCTGATGTACTTGGAACCGATTTTTCATATCCTCTCCGATAATCCTCTGATGTAGGGAAGTGCAAGCACTGGTTGTGACGACTTCTCTTCCTTGCGAGGCTCCTGCTGTCTTTTAGCCAAGGTCTAGTTCCTTCTCGAGACCTTCCTTCGTGTTACAGAGCCCGAAAGCACGGCCTAATAGAGTCTTGATGATTCCTCTTTTAGTCGATTAATGGTGGTTGGATTCGTGGTTCAGATACTGTCCCGTATGAGTGGGTTTTCGTGAGAGTGATGCAAGAGTAGGAGGAAGAGATTTTGAAAAAATTGTTCAATTTTGCCGATGGGGCTTTCTGATGAAGCAATTTTTCATAAAAATGGAACTGTGAATCGACATAACATGCATTATTATGCAACGGAAAACCCTCATTTTGTTCGTTGCCTGAACCATCAACAGCGTTGGTCACTGAATGTTTGGGATGGAATTCTCGGAAAAAAAGTTCTCGGAAAATATCTAAGATTTCTTCGGCAGAGTTTTCGAATTTGTTGGACGGGGTTCTATATGGAACAAGACTGAGTATATTAAATGGATTGTCTACGAAACATGAAACGAAGAATCACTAGAGGTTTCAGGTAAATCCCAGAGGACATGCTGGAACGTGTATAGAATTCCTTTTAAAAATGACTGACATTATGTGTTGCAAAAAATGGTCGCCATTTTGAACATCTTTTGAATTTCTCTATTCGATAAAAAGTTTAGGCGTTATTGTTCATACCGAAAAAATTTTGTGTAAGTGAACGTAAATAAATGAATTTTTTGTGGTTACAACAATTAATAAAACTGGGTATAATTTGTAAACTATCTGATTTTTGTATAGTATACCTCTGATGAAAAATGTAGTGAAATGTTGAAACATTTCATACAAATGAAAAAATACAAGGTTTTCCATTTGAAAAAGTTGAATTATGTCTGTTTAAAAATGAATGAAACTTGACTGGTTTTACCGAGCACCCCATATATTGTTTCCGAGACAACTTGGCAATGCCGCAATGGAAATTCGAAAATGAAAATTCCTTGGAGAGTTAAAAAAATATCGAATCGAATGACGTATTTATATACTGAGCAATTCGAAAAATTGTTTTCCCTGATAACAATGGACCGAGGGAATCTTATTGACTCACCCTGTATTTATTTTCATATTGATTTTTTGGGGATGTAGGAGAATAAACTACCTTTTGGACTTTTCATTTCTGCTGTCACATATCGGAGTAACATGCTCTAAAATATTTTCTATTGAACGCACAGAAATATTTTGTTTTTAGTTTTATTTCAACTTCGTCACATTTTCCAATTTCTTCTGGATTTCTATATATTGTTGAGATTCCCGAAATTATCATAATGGTGTTGACTTATTATTCCTAAAAAAACACACTTAATTGCTGTAGACATGCGGGTGGTGAATTAAAAAAATATTGTCTGCAAAATTGGTTTTTCTGGAATAACTTGGTAATGCCGCAGTGGAAATTTGAAATTCCTTAGAGAGCTAAAAAAAATATGGAATCGAATGACGTATTCATATACTAGGTGTTTCATCTAAAAAAATATAATTTTGGTTGGCCACGCTTGGCTGAATCACCCAGTATTTATGGATATGACTGCGAAAAAAATGAGAAATTCGAAAAGTTGTTTTCCCTGATAGCAATGAACCGAGGGTATCTTGTTGACTCACTCTGTATAGTGTCCGAAATTAATAGGTAGTAATCCATTTTATCATACTATTGTGAGTTCCAGATATGGTTATATGAAGAACGTGTTTCCATGCATTTTATATTGATAAAAAATCCTGATCTCCACTCTCTAGCGTCTTATATTAGTCTTGGGACAATTGATATCTCTTTCGATATTTTCAATTGAATCCTTACCTCTATTTCTTGTTTTGAGATTTTCAATCTCATTGTGCAGTCCACTCAACATTAGCTGATGTTGTTCTTGTAAAAACCGTATGTTTTGTTCGAGCTGAGCAACTCTGACATGTTCCGGTCCCCGTGAATTATCAGCTGATCTGGAAGAAATGTCTTGGGGCCTTGGAACCACAATGTCGCCGTTGACGTTTCCAGATTTAGATTTGTTCACCTGAAAAACAACATCGATCTTAGTTTGTTAAACTGCCAAGAGCTTCGGATACTCATAAAATATTCCGGATACTCATAATATTCTACGAGGATTCTACACATTCTACGGTAAGGTGATTGATTATCCACAAAACGTGTAGACGTTTGAAATAAGGAAATCATCTCCTTTCGCATACTCAAACACAACTTTGCTGGTCTAGATTATAGATTATAGATGATAATAGATTACGCGGTCATGGGTTGAAATTGAAAAAGGAAAATTCAAGGCCAAATAACGGCAACACTTTCTATGCAACCGGATTATTGATAAATAGAATGGTCTCAACCAAGAAGTCATTCATCAGTGCTACATCTATCAATGCTATCTGTTTTGTTTCGAATCTATTGTTCACAATAACTTGGTTTTTGCTAGGCTTGTATGTTCATCCTTTTACTAGTGTTCATATTAATTTGTATTTCATTATGCTTCAATAGGACTCGGTCTTCAGACTTCAACTATGTCAATAATAATAATAACTTTAGCAAAATTCAGTATTTTCTCGCTCGCTGATTAGTAGCAGCCACTTGAATTCATATCCTTTCATGCCGCGCTCCTTGATGGTCAGCAACACGTCTTGACTTGACTCTCAGTGCCGCTTTTTTTGTAACAATGTTTCATATAAACATTCAGTGTCCAGTGCGGCCGTCAACAGTAGACACTATCGATGCAGGTCCAATAACCACGCCTATGACACACCCGAGCAGTTTGAGTTTGGTTATTGGGACCGCTGCCTAACAAGATGGTTAGCCTTGTCAATCCATGGGTAGGACTCATTACTCGATAACACGGCCCTTTTCGAATACTTCATCTATAAGATTAACAGAAAACTCAAAACACGAATATCAAAGATGAACGAAGCTTCCCATGTTGGTTCGTTGCAGAGCCAAGCTGCGACATTGACCACCGAACGAGATTCGTCTTCTGTCTTTCACTGCAAGGCAATTAGATGAAACCACAGCCCAAAGACAAAGCTTTGCTTTTGGGCTCTAGACAAATCTTTGTATATAGACTCTGGTTCATATAAAAAGGCATAAACCTATCTACTCACTAGGGATTTTGGTGAAATTGATGACACGTGAATTGTTGTATTAGTGCCACATACTGCTGTACACTCACTATGTTGTGATTCAATATTGCATAGAGATGACAAGAACGGTTACATTTCCTTTGCTGATTACTCATGTCTGAATTTCCCAGCCGAAAGTCGATGGAAACATTCGGTTAGTTCATCCATCTCTAACGTTTTCTGTTAAATAAATGATTGACATTCTGGAAACTTGTGAATTGATAAGTGACAAGTATTCTGATAGTTTTATTTTGTTACTACTTTGTGGAATGCGGAGAGACAAATCGAGTTTTAATAGGTTAATGGAAGTACTCTAGAAACATCGTTACGTTCTGAACGGTGGAATTTATAATATACAGTGCATTCCGATTAAAAAGAGCCACACTGAATAACTTTTGGTATAATGATTTTAAGGAAAAATAAAAAAAACGTCAATAATAGTATACAGGGGGACACATTTTGACATACTCACATATGATGTTACTTTCCCTATCGCACCCCCAGAGCAAGTCACCAATTTTTCTAAATGGATCACCCTATATTGTCTCGCATTATCAGATGCTCCGTGATGAGCAGATTCCAACAAAGTATAAAACATATGGTCTGAAGCTTATGGTTCGGGAGCTACAAATTATTTGAGTTGAAAATAAGCCACCCAGAATAACTTTTGAAACAATGATTTGCAGGAAAAAAAATCCGGGGTTCGACTCAATAACAAATAAGTTATGGAAGAAGCTCCCGGAAAACTGCGTCGAGAACCTCCTGTTTATTATAAAGAGTTCGTTGGCCCTCAGATACTTTCCCACAAGGTGGAAGCATGCGATTGTTGTCATGCTCCCAAAACAGGGGCAGAACCGGCTTTTCCCACAGAACTATCGCTCAATCAGTCTGCTCTCGTCGGCGGCTAAGCTGGCTGAAAGATTCGTTCTTCAAAGGCTCAACGAAAAAGTTAAGGATCGAAATGTTCTGCCTGACGAACAATTCGGCTTCAGGAGAGATCATTCCACTGAGTTACAGGCTCTGAGACTGGTCGAAAATACCATCGCGAAGTTAAATCGTAACAGGAAAGTCTATGTAGTCTTATTAGACATTTCGAAGGCCTTCGACCGTGTTTGGCACGAAGGCCTTCTGCACAGACTAATTGCGTTCGATCTGCCTAAGGGCCTGATCCGGTGGATTGGGTCTTTCCTGAAAGACATAACATTTCAGGTTAGAGTAGAGGGCTCTCTGTCTGACAACAGAAAGATCCTCGCTGGAGTGCCATAGGGGGCCGTGCTCTCTCCCACGCTGTATTCCCTTCACACCAGTGACCTTCCGAGGTCCGAGCATGTGAAGGTATCCCTCTACGCCGACGAAACGACTCTCCTCTCATCTTCCATGGGTCGGGAGCTCGGGATCGTCTATATGCAACGTGCATTCGACGACCTCGATCGCTGGTACCTCGAGTGGAAGATCCGAGTGAACCCGGAAAAGACTCGGGCGATAACCATGGGAAGAACAATATCTTCTCCGGCTATGAAAGTGAGAATCTCTGGAAGGGAGATCGACTGGTAAGCGCGGGTCTTTTAATAGATCGTATGCTCACCTGGAACCCGCACTTTATAAGCGTGAAGGCAAAGATCGAGGGTCGGGTGGCAAGCCTGTACTCTCTGATGAACAGACGATCCAAGTTAAGCCTAAAAAACAAAGTTACTATTTACAACACGATGTTCAAGCCTGTCATCATGTACACTTCAGGCGTCTGGGGACAAGCGGCTCCGTCCAACATCTCCATCTTGGAAACTTTACAAAATAAAATACTACGGATGATTGTGAATGCTCCGTGGTTCGTGCGGAATGAAGCCATCCGCAGAGATTTATAGCTGCCTTCCATTCAGCAGTCCATCCAGTCGAGGAATCGGCGAGTTTTAGATTGCGCGGAAACTCACGATAATCCGTTAGTCAGGGAAGCTATAGATTACGCTGTAGACGACCCCTCTCGATATAGAAGGCCCCGACATTCTGTCGAATGAGGCCCTCATGTCCTCCGTTAACAGATGAATAATATATTCATCCATCTCACTCATCCAGGTAGGGGTACACCGCGAAGGGCGGTACGGATGTCTGACGACATTCATGCCACCATCACTGATCAGTTATGACCCATTTGTCTCTCTGACGAAAACCAGTCCAAAGGGTAGGGGAGCAAGGCTCCAGCCTGAAAGAGATCAAGATGAACAGGAAAAATAAAAAAACAGGTCAACAATTATACAGGAGGCCACATTTTGAAATTTTCGTTCGTTAAGTATGAACGAGGATTCGTATCACTCCAATATCGACAATTTTGCCGATTCACCTCTCTATTCAAACTAAACGTACATTCATCCGAAAAACAAATTCTGATGAAAGTTGATCCGTTCAGTGAGACTTTCACAAAACTCTGTCGAAATCATTTTCGTTCAATTAATGAACTAGTCTAATCTTATATGGATGAAATTTGTACATATGAAGGATCCTGAGAACATTTGTACGACCGATTCCTGATTCTCGATATAACTTAGTAAGAGATTGCGAATTTTTCAATAGTTCAACGTGCCCTAAAACTGCGCTTCATCGTTGACAACTCCTGAACGGTTATGCTTTTTATTGTTAACAGATCCCGTTTCCAGAAATTCGTTCAATAATTCCGAAACGTATTTATGTCGTACATTTCTTCCTTTTGATGATTATCATTGAACATACTATTTCTATTCTGGTACTAGAAACTCACTATTTCAATCCGTTCTCGAAACGTATAAACCATTGCTTCTCAAGAATTCACAAATCAGAAACACCAATTGTAACTTCACCTGGTAGGTAATCGTTATTGTAAAGTGAAACAAAAACAAAATGAAGAGAATATCTAATTCAAACTTTACTAGACAAAATAAGACTTTCTTGAAGTGTACTTCACAAAAACACCTATGGAACCTATGTAACAGATTGTACAGAAGTTCATTCAGGGTGGCTAGTTTTCAACTCAAATAATTTTTAGCTTCCAAACTATGAGCTCCAGACCATAATGTATTCAACTTTGTTGAAACATCTGATAATGCAAAACAATTGATTCATTTAAAAAAAATGGTGACATGCTCTGGGGGTGCGATAAGGAAAGTTAGATCAAATATGATTATGTCAAAATATGTTCCCCTGTATACTACTGCTGAGGTGTTTTTTATTTTTCCTGAAAATCATTGTTCCAAAAGTTATTCAGGGTGGCTCGATTTTAACTCAAAGCTTCATGCCATATGTTTTATACTTTGTTGAAATCTGCTCATTATGTATCATCTGATAATGCCAAACAATATAGGGTGGTCCATTTAAAAAAAATTTGCTGTCTTGCTTTAGGGGTGCGATAGGGGAAGTAACATCAAATGTGAATATGTCAAAATGTGTCCCCCTGTATACTATGGTTGATGTGTTTTTTATTTTTTCTGCCAATAATTGTACCAAAAGTTATTCAGGGTGGCTCGTTTTAAATGAAATGCACTGTATAATTTATAATATCATTTTTACAAAGTCTTTGAAGTATTGTCAGCTCAAGTTGTTGGTATAATGAAACTGAAGGAAGACATAAAAGAAACCAGCCAGCTAAACGAAAATCCAGTTCACTAGGATATGTTTAATTGAGCTTTGTCATGGTCAAAATGACATAAAAAATACAGTCCATTTTCCTTTCAGCCACCCGACGGTGGTTGAACAATATTCCTCTTTACCAATTCTAGAAGTAACATCTACCCCTTGTAGAGGTAGATGTAGGCCTTCTAGAAAATACAATTGTCTTCGAATTTTCATATTTTTCTTGGAAAGGAGATATTAATGGTAGAGAACCACCAAATTGATACCCTGGATATCCAACGAAAAACAATCCATTTTCAAACTTACTATTAGACTCTTCAAGCAATCAACAGCCGCCGATACGAAAACGGAAACAGCAAAAATGTCAACTCACCTTACCAAACGAAGCGACAGGTATTTTCACGATAACTTTGGAAGCCATCTCGATTTTCGCGTTACTTGTTCAAAACGCACGGTTTAATAAACACACCGGCGATCACTTAGGCAACCTTTGTGTCGATTTCAATGACTCACGGGGATAAAAATATTCTCTTACGGATTTTATCCGCGACGACCACTCACGAAACAAGACAAAATACTGCCTGGCAGAGATTCTCTCAGATTTTCCCAATTGTGTTCTTTAAACTTACACAACACTTTCAAAATTCAAACGATATCACTTCAACTGTATCAAGATATATGAAAATGGGATGTATTTCTCAGAAATTCAAGTGGTTTTATGCAATTTTCGACGAATATTTGTGTTTACGTTCGTTCGACAGCAACACCTCGGAAAAGCTTCAGTATTGATTACTTTTGTGCTGACATGCTCAAAATGAGCTTATTGGAATACACGCGGGGAGAGCCAGTGAAATATATTCAAGTCTTTATTCGTCACTGGACATTTGTGTTAGCTGGTTGATCAACATTAATAATTCTGTTTTTGTACAGGGCAATTTGAAGACTCGAAAATGCCTCAAATTGAAGTTTTTCAGATACTTATAACACTATTCAATTGATAAAATAAATTACATATAAATCAAACGTAGACAATAAAGTAAAAAGTGCGACACTTTCTCACCAAAATAAAAAATTTAAAGAATGAAATATGGGATTTTAACGGGTCACATTCTCGAAAAAATATTTTCATCTACGATCGTGCAAAAAGTATATTTTGTACGATCCACCTTAAATATATTTTCGTAATATGCTTTTTATCAAGTTACCTATGTAGGTACTGCTTCTGACAGCTACCATTTTCGTAATCAATACGAAGCTGTCAGTTTACAATTTTAATATTTTATTGTAAAGCTGTTTTAGATGTCGAGTTCGAATGGTAAGGAAGAGATCATTTGTACACCACCTGATTCTGTCTGACCTTGGAATCGAAATATTCAATGTTTCATCCTCAATCCACTAGCCACAATATACGTTTTACAATATATTATAGCGGAGAATGTTCAGTTCAACCTGTAAAATTCCAAATAATATTGCATCAATGATAATGCAATACAATGGATACTGTTTTTGCAGATCTTCTGTAACATTGCTTTTAGAATCGAAGGTAGAAATATTAATATTAAAACTCCATGGAATATGGAAATCTTCAATTATAGCCGAAGGCTACTTCGAAGGATCAATTATGGATGGTCAATCAATCACCAGTTCTGGAAACTTGACCACAATTCGAAAACGAGTTTTGAATGAGGAACACGTAAGAAGAAATGAAAATGAAATTGAAACAATTAACGGAGATGAAGTTTGCTGAGGCTCCAGAGTCATTTTAATTATGTTGGTTTTCAACCTTACAATATAATATATGAAAGAGTTACGATTTAAAATTCACTTACGGGGACACTATCATTTTCAAAGCGAACTTCGATGTTTCGGAATAAGACACTTGTCTCATTACCTCTTGAGCACCATTCAAGATAATATATACAAGATGAAGCACTCAATTTATAACATTATGACTGTCACGGATTAGTCTAATCAACAAGTTTAAAAACATGAAAAATAGAGATAAAAGTCTTTAAAATATGAGCGATAGCTCATTCGATTCGGAATCACCTAAAGAAAAATGTTTTTGGAGGATTTTGGTGCAAGTAAAAAATTGCAATTGTTATTAACAAAATAAGATTTTAAAAAAAATATTTTTTTCGCTAATAACTCAAAAAATATCATAATTTGAGCAATTTTGAAAAAAGCTCGTTAAAGAGGAGAAAATTTTCGATGAAAAAGTCTTTACTACCGAAACTCTATCTCCATTATTTATAATTTTAAATTGACGTTGAAAATAGGGTTGCGCGCGGTTGTTACGACATGAGCGCGCTGCCACTTGAGATAGTTTATCAAAAGAAATGATTTTTTTATAACATAAAATGTCATTTTAAAAATTTGAAAACAATCTAGTATCTTCCTAACACTTGCATGAATCAAGTCCCGTAGACAAAACAGTTTTATCATCATTTTTCAAAAAGTTATTCAATTGTTAACTAACAAATTTTTTCCCAATATCCGTTGGCATAAATAATGGGATAAAAGGTATAAATAATTGGCCTATAAATTTTAAACTTCGTGGAGCCCTTTTGATATATATACTTCATACGATCCTGCGATAAATATAACAATTGCAATTTTTTACTTGCACCAAAATCCTCCAAAAAAATTTTTCTTTAGGTGATTCCGAATTGAATGAGCTGTCGCTCATATTTTTAAGACTTTTATCAATATTTTTCATGTTTTTGAACTTGTTGATTAGACTAATCCGTGACAGTCATAATGTTATAAATTGAGTGCTTCATCTTGTATATATTATCTTGAATGGTGCTGAAGAGGTAATAAGACAAGTGTCTTATTCCGAAACTTCGAAGTCCGCTTTGAAAATGATAGTGTCCCCTGTAAGTGAATTTTAAATCGTAACTCTTTCATATATTATGTTGTAAGGTTGAAAACCAACATAATTAAAATGACTTTGGAGCCTCAGCAAACTTCATCTCCGTTAATTGTTTCAATTTCATTTTCATTTCTTCTTACGTGTTCCTCATTCAAAACTCTTTTTCGAATTATGGTCAAGTTTCCAGAACTGGTGATTGATTGACCATCCATAATTGATTTATTTTGTTAATAACAATTGCAATTATTTACCTGCACCAAAATCCTTCTGAAACATTTTTCTAGAGGTGATTCCAAATCGAATGAGGTATCGCTCATATTTTTAGGACCTTTATCTCTATTTTTCATGTTTTTGAACTAGTTGATTAGACTAGATGAGTTTAATCTAATCATGTCACGATGACAGAACGTAAAGACATCCACAGAAAGATGGGGAAGTAGAAAGCCATAAACTTTTGTCTCAAAAACTAACTTCTCCTAAATATGTTTGAAGGTGGTTGACAATGTTTGGTGGTGCATTTCATCAGTTCGGACACCCGAAGACGATTGTGGATACTAACAATCGAAACGTCGTGAAGTAACTTGGTTTGGAATCTTTTAATTTTCTTTTCTTGTTAATAATTTTTCATTTTTTTCAGGACGTGCTAATAGTTCAATTTTTTTGGGGTTTTTTGGTTGTTGTTGTTGTTATTTCATTGTAATTCCAGTTTTTTGCACAATAAAATTGTTTTTTTAATTTTTATCTTTTTAAATTTTTACAGATACTTTCAGAGATTTCAAATCAATTTATATCATATTAGACAATGGAAGTCCGAACTGATGAAATGCTTTCCTAAATATATACCCCCTTCACTTCAATGGTGGCGTTGTTCCAAACCTCATCAGACAATGTTTTTTTACTAGAACATTATAATCTCTCAGAAAGTTGTGACGCTTTTTTAAATGTTTGCCGTTATATTGTTTTTGAATTGCTGGCTATTTCTCCAAGACGTTTTCGATTTTTTTATAATCAGTTGTATAGGATTTGAATACAGAAATTTTCTATCATAGGGTATCTCTAAGGTGTCTCGACATTAGTTTAGCAGAAGAATCGATATGATATGATAAGGGTATACTGCAATAATGCCATCTACCTATAAGTCTTTAATTCTCATGAACAACTTTGTTTAGTATTTGTTTTAGAGTTTAATGTTTTGTTAATTGCCACTCATTCGAATATCGTTCGCAACGCGATTTTGTAAATTGCGGACCGATCACTGATCAACACACTGTTAAAAATTTCTATACTGATTTTACGAAAAATGCTTTGGAAGTTTTAACGCATAACATTATTTTGAATAATAGAATCACATTCTGTAAATTCACTACAAGATTTATTTCAACTCAATTTAGAAAAATTACAAAACATTTTTGAATTTTCAGTTAACTTACACCTGACGTTTGTATTGTTATATTACAATACAAACTATGTATTTTTGTGAAGCAAATTTGGTAGAAAATTATTTTCAATTTCAAGAAGCTGCATTGTAAATTTACTAACGAAATCAATTGAACTTTGTTTTAAAAAATTACAATATATTTGTTGTTTTTTTGGTAAACATTTTGTGGACAATTGTTTTGTATTATTACAGCACAATCTTTGTAAATTTGTTAAACAAATTTCGAAAAAGTTGATTTGTAATTTCAAGAAACTGCATTGCAAATTTACTACGCATTCAGTCCAACACAGTTTCAGAAAATTACAAAAATTTTGTTGCTTTTTTGTAAACATTTGATGGGAGTTTGTTTTCTATTATTACAACACAAAATTTGTGAATTTGTTAAGCAAATTCGGTAAAAATTGATTTGTAGTTTTAACATACTGAATCCCAAATTTACTACGCATTCAATTCAACATAGTTTTGAAAAATTATAAAACATCGGTTGCATTTTTAGTAAATATATATTGCACGTTTGTTTTGTAATATCACAATATAAACTTTGTAATTTTGTTAAACAAATTCAGTGGAAAAATTTGTAATTCTAAATATGAACACTGTGATTTTCTAAAATAAGTTTTTTTTAATTCTTTACTGATTTATAAATAAAGCATATTATTGTACTGCAGGACTTATAGTAGTGCTCTAATTGAAGATCTTGAACGATTTAATTAGATATGTTTATTAATAGTGGATATATCCAAAGTTTTAACTTAGCAATATAATATTGCAAATAATTTAGTTGTTGAATGAGAAGTGCGATTTATAGGCTTCTTATCAAGATACCAAACAATAATTCATCATTTTCTTGATCAAAAAAACAGTTTATTGGATAAAATCACTTTAAAATCAACAAATGAAATTTTATTCAATGTAGGATATTTAGTCTACATTATATAAATAAAACTCGTATTTGATTATATTGTATTATAATTCAAACTTAACGTAATATACATTAGGTAAAAAGTACAAATTAAGGTAAGTGAGTAATGCAATCGAATAGTAATAATAAACATAGTAAAAAATTAAAGATTATAACAAGTATTATACAAAATAGAAATCACATCGTATTAATGAATGATAATTATGTAGTATGTAGGTATGTATAACATAAAAAGTACATAATTATATTAAAATAACAATTTAATGCGATTCATCAGCAATACATGACTCGATTGCTTCATCAGCTTGCTGACTTTAGGATGGATATTGGTTGCTTTCCTTTTTCCGTCCCGCTTTGTACGTTTGGGAAGACAAATTTCCAGAAAAAATCTAAAATCGAAGTCATTTACAAATCAATCGCAAGCAAAAGAGAAAACAAAATTGAATAAAATAAATTGTCCTGAGACAAAATTAACATGATTCAAGTGACGTTTTTTATCAGTGCAGTATCTATAAAGTCTTATATGAAGCTTTTTC